AAAAGGCTCTCCTCTCTATCACACATAAACAGAGATGACTAACCTTTGCCTTAGCCCATCAGAATTGGATTACATGGACTGGAAGCATGTTATATGATCATATAAGACCACAATAAATAGGATTGGGTCAGATGGCAAGGTATATATGTGAAAAAAGAAGGGTGCTAGTCCTCTCTGCATATGTGTGATAGAGAGGAGAGCCTTTTCTTCCTTGTTACTGACCTGAGATGAGCTGTCTTGAGAATGTTTCTCACAGTGTGTGAAGAGACAGGGAATGTGATGGTGGAATTGATGTAATAGGTGACCTGGACAGCATTATCAGCCTTTCCTGTAGTGATATGTTGAATAATAGCCCTCCTATCAGTAGAGGTGAGCTTGGATGGACACCCTTCACAGAAGTTTTCCTTGTCTGTGTGACTTTCTTTGATGAACTTGGCCACAATGGACTTGGATACTCCAGTTTTAGAGGAAATTTGACAAGCAGAGAGGCCAGAATAGGAAAGAGAGAGGATATTATCCCTTTGAGCAGGGGAGGTGGCTTTCATGGTGAATATAACCATGACATATGGAAATTTTTGGTTTGTATAGTTAGATATGGTTTTAAAATGACATAATGACACCACTTTATAATTTATTTAATGGTGGCATGATTGTTATGGTGTCATAAATGATGATTTATATAGTTTTAATATGTGCTCAAAAAACTGTCCGCATGAGTCATGATTTTGTAAGCCTTGTATCTCCACCATATCTCCTCTGATTCTCACAATGTGGTACTCAATCCAAAGCCCTGAAGCAGCACTACAATATTGTATCAGCATGTCACTGAGGTCTTTATGTATTCTCACACAATATTGTAAATAGTAAAAAATGCAAAAACATGTGGACAGTTTTTTGAGCCACTGTATGTCCATTAGCCAGGGAGGGACTGCCTCTGCCACGGCTCAACTTCAAGTCAATATTGGCCAGTTGTCATTGGAAAATGACACTGAGCCATCTGCATCAAATGGTCACAGATTTCCTGCTGCTCAACCACATCAAACTGCTAGCATCCAGCCTGCTCAACCTGATAACCTGATGAACTGTCAATGGATGAAGATGTAGCCCCAATCATTCCATTGGCCCCTCCACTGGCAGTTAAATGACATGCTGCTTGTGGCAGACCTAAGAAGTTGGGGAAGTGAATTGTGGTGGCATTGTGTGTTTGATGGTGCACTCATCTTCATGGTTTTGTTTCTTCTTCTACCTCTTTAGTTTTCATACTATTTTTTCACTTTAATACTGGCTGCTCAGATTGTTTAAAGTTGATTTCACCTCTGTCAATAAATCACTTTATTCTCACTAATTACTGAGGACAGTCCAGACTGATTCATGCTGATATTACTATACAACAAAATTAAATGTTGGATTGAAGATTCCATCATTCTAATGTATAGTAAGACCTTCAAAGTTTGCATGAGTGGTTCCATTGATGGTCGGATCATAACAATGTCAAACAAGTCAAATCCAACACTTTCATTACAAAGTCAAAGTCTTTTAATTTGGTTCTGCACCATCACAATGAATCGTTGTCAACTGTATTAACATTGTAATCCCAATGCACTGAATCAATTCTTAATCCATATCATCATCAAGATTCAGACTGCTATTAATTGTTAGTAAGTTGTATTTAAGTTGTCATTGACAATGACAATAATTTGATTATTTCAGGCATCAACTGCAATGTCGTCTGACATTTAAATCATCATTATTGAGACCAATAACTTTAATTCTGTATTTTTATGAGCATTTTATGTCTGAATCAATTTATATTGACAATTCTTGAGACCAATGACTCTGATTTGCATCTTTGTGTAGTAACACCATCACAAACAATATTTGCTGAGCAGTAGGTCTATGATAGTAGTTGCCCAACATTCAACTAAGGGGTCTATCACTCTAGTACAATGCTAGGATGCTAAGAGCTCATTTTCCTATTAAGTTGTTCAAAACTACCTTTAACTACCTTTAACTACCTTTATTGATGTGTCAGGGATACCCATGAACCCTGTTAACACCTGGGAAAACCCAGCAATAAACAGGTTTTGCTTATACTTAAGGTGTGAATTAACAAGAAATAATCTTCAGAAATCAGGCCTGCTTCTGTTCATTTGTCACAGTACTCAATTTGAGAGCACTTCTCTGAGTACAATAATACCTGGCAATCTCAGCCCACCATACTTTCTGGATCACTTTGAGCCTCTTTGGGAACTCATGCTGTCAAGAGGCACTTATACCTAGTGTAAGTTTTGTGAAAAGTTGAGCCACTACCATTGTCATGGAATCAGCTTTGAGGCCACAAGTAAATAATAAGCCCCATTCAATGTCAGACCCATTGGAAAATATCCAAAATGCAGAATTAAACATCCAGGACCCTGGTGTGTTTACTACAAGTTATGAACCATGGAATTGATTTCCAAGCTCTGCAGGTTTGCACCAATTCATAATCAACAGAATTCAGAATGGTGATGATGAGCTCAAAGTTGAGATACCAGAGCCTCCTTATTTATTATTCATCTACTGATTACCATGATGGGTTTTCTCAAATGTTTCAGAAGATGACTACATGTATATTTTGAATGCCATTGGATCTAACAATGAACTGGTTCACAAGTGAGTCTTTTTGTCCTTTCTAAATTGGAGCTCATCTCATTCTTTACTACTCCAGACCATTATATATTCCTCATTGTCAGCAACTTGTCACCACCCTACCCTCCCCAATCCACAAGGCAATCTTGATGTCTCTGTATACTATGATGGGAATCACTCTTAAATCTCTCATCATTCCTGTTAATTTTGATGTTTCCCTACCTATCCATATGGGGAATATAGTAAATATGCCTACTATTGTGAATCTACATCTCAATGATGAGAGCTACCACCTTGGAATACCAGACATGGTGGTGGCATTGCAGACATCTGATGCTGAAATCTGTCTATACTGGCCATTTGAGGTGTCTGCTTCTCAGACCCCTAAAGGCCCCCTCACAAAGCTATAGTCCTTCAGTAATTGGAATGAAAATGTCTTAGCTGCTACCCATATCAGTGTCATTAAAGACAACAAACACACCTTACCTACATATGAATAGGGTATCAAGAAAGAGCTAGATCAAAGAGAGCTTTAGATCAAGAAGTTAATACCCTCAGGTAATGGCAAAATCATGTCACTCTCATACATGGTTCTATCCCACAACTATAATTATTACCACATGGATCTGCCCTCTTAAGGAACCATTAAACCTGAGGAATCTTGATCTTGCATATTACACAACTGCCATACATATCCCTTAGAGTTGCTAAATATTGACACTGACTTGTCACACTCACAGATTATCTACTCCAACCAAGACAAGGAGGGCCTAGAGGAAGTCCAATGTATGTTCCAGTGCACATTGGAGAGAGAGCCCACAACACACTTGTTGACCACCTCCAGACTGTGCATATGCACAATGGTACACTCCTGTAAGAACAGTATTCACTGATTATCATAATTTCACAAGTTTGATTACTTTCAGCAGCTCACTCCAGGTTATGAAGGACTGGTCTGCACCAAGTATATTGCTTGATTGGGACAAATGCCACAAAGACCTACAGAAAGCAGTGAAGCAGACAGGATTTGATTGATATTGCTCATGGCACCACAACTTCCTCAAGCATGTTGCTGATGAAACTGATGATGTCTTGAGAGCATCCAGAGTTAGAATAAGTAAAAGAGGAAGGTTTTTATAGGTGCATCTCATTGCTGTGTGTATCTTCAAGTTATTTTGCTCAGCACACATGTCATGCTAATTGTCAATATTTTAGCTTTTAAATTGTACTCATACATGTTTTCATTATTCTATATGCTGTGTTAGTGTTGTTTGAACAACTTCTCACATTCCTACAGGTTGTTTGATGAAGATGAGGAGACTTGCATGCAGGTAAGAGATATAAGGTTCTCAGGAATGCATCCAATCCAAAGGGTTTCAGAGTTGAGCCAAGTAAAAATAATGTATTGCATTGTGGTAGTGTTGTTCTTGCAAAGAACATTTAATAACAAGTACTGAAAGTCAGGAATACTAAAGCCTGAAGTGCAAATTTGTAACAAAATGAGCACAATTTAAATCCATGATGGAGGGCAAAAGGTATATACTAAAGCTAAATTCTGAGTATGTAATGAACATTCACATTAATTGATATAAAGTCCATGATGTGGAAAGTTCAATCATTCCCCTCAGAGCCCACTTTGTCCTGATCACTCTCATTAGGCTAAAAAATGTGCACATCCCTGTCATATAGAGTGGGTATAGTGAGGTGTCTTCATCCACATCACCAGGATCTCCAACTTGAAGTGAAATATAAATGTCAGTGGTGAGACACTTGTAGAGAGAAATCAGCTGTTATCTTGGAGGCAAGGTTATAGCACTGTGGTGACTACCAAAACACTAAGCAAGGAACAGAAGCAATAACTTTAAGTCAGTTAACAGCTGCCTTGATGTTCTGGACACTAGATCAAATGAATCAAATTGTTGCACAGCTGGCTGATATTGGTATGTACCCATACATTGACCACAAAGTACCTTGATAAGCAAGATGCAGAAGGGCTTGTGGGAAATGGGCTCTTAGAACACACTAGCATTGTATTCTGTTGTGTGTGAGCCTAGAGAAAACAATTGCCTTGACTATTGATCTTCTAACTATTGGGCAGAATATTATACATACTATGTATGTACAACATCAATTTCTCTGCCATTGCTATTAAGCAAGACATAGGCCATCATTAATACCTGAACTGCCACAGCCAACCAAAGCTCACCTCATCTGATCCCATTCAATGAGAGAGAGGCACAAAAAGAATAAACTTCTTTTTGCTGTGAGCATTGCTGCAGTTACAATGTTATATATGCCAATCACAGTCAAATGCATCAGATACACTTCTGTTGATGGTACTGTAAATGGCATAGAAGTCTGATGATTTATCAATGACCTTAGCAGTCAAGCTAGAGATCAGATCACCCTGGTAAGTCTATCTTGCCATTACAAATAAGACCATCCCTTATTTCATCTGCTCAGGCAGGTGCTTCAATGGCCATAGACATTGCAATTTTTACCATTCCAGGTTTGGGCACATTGAAGACTGCACAGATGTCAGCTGCATTTTTGCAGACACAATGATACAATGCTTTGGTGAGAGGATGGGCTCTCTTGAATTCACAGTTTGGTTTACTGCATTTTGGTAAGCTTAGCTCAATATCATCAAATAAACAGGGGTATTACCTGGAAAAGAGGAGGAGGATGCTAGTCATAATTACAAGCATACCCACTCTTTTCTGTGTACTGATATAAGTAAAATTTTGATGATCACTCTTATCACTTATTAATCTGCTGTCAGTGTAATAGGTGCCATGCTTGGATTTCTTGCAGCTATCTTTGCCAACTTCAAAACCTCCACATTCTTAGTAGTTTTGAACATTGTTATGCTCAGCATTGTGGTGTGTCTCTTACTTGTACTGGCAATTGCCAGTTATGGTCCAGGCCTGGCTTGGATGTGACCACAGTGATATATGTGTAGTAGATTTGTCACAGCCCTCTGGGTATCACAGGATCCATTATTTCTTTATCTTTTTTTTCTTTGTTCATCTCAGTGTAAAGTCACTCACACTGGCCAAATCATATCCCATTATGCTGCATCATAGCTTTGTTGTCAACTTTATAACCCTTCACCAACATATCTGTGGGTGTCTCTTCTGCACATTTTCCCACAGGGTCATCTTGCTATGTGTTCTATATTAAAAGCAGTTTCCTGCCACATCTGTTACATACATCCATTACCAGTGACACTAGGTGTGTCCTGTGTGATGTTCTGTGCATCTTCTTGATTCTTTTGATTGTGTTGAGGCATAGTGTTCCAGATAGGGGCTTTTGCAGCATCTTGGGTTGCTGTTAAGCACTCCTGAGGGTGGGATCCATATTCATATCCATGTCCTCTTCTTGTTGCCCACCATGTCTTGTGAATTGTCTCTCTATATTGGCAAGCTCCCTCTCTTTTTCTGCCTAAAGTATATTTTTAATATTTATGCCCACTAGTATGGAAAGCCAGACACTCATGCTCAATTCTAAGCAACAATTACCTTATATAGTAATTGGACCTCAAGCACCGTCATTTGCTTGTGTTGATCAGTACAAACCTACTTGTGTGTTTGAATCTAAGTCAAGAGTATAGTGATGAAAACCAAAAGCTGTAATACATTGTAACACTGTCCACGAACATATGCCAAATAAAAACAAGTGTCATCTAAGCTACTTTATGCCCAAACTCTTCAAGTTCAAACCCTAACCACTTGCAGAAGTGATTGCAAACATGGCAAGTTTCAAATTCACTGACTGCCTTCTCAATGTTTCCCTCCCAAATATATCTTTCTTGTTGCTAACTGAAGGGTGTGTCATAATCTGTGGGTCAGTCAACAGTTTGGTATTGCCTGTTTGATTCTGACATCAGAATTGCCAATGAGCAATGTAAGAAGGTAAAGTACATACCTTGATAATCAGATATGAAGGCCAGCCCACCTGTCTTCACATACTGCACATGTTACATGAAGGAAAGAAACAATGTGAAGTCATACCTGGATTCATCTGGATCAAGTAATGGATTGGGGTCCATGTTATAAATATACTTGATGAAATCATTATCTCTTTCATTGATAACTTCCTCAAGGAGAAAACATGCATGTGCTGATGCAACCTTGAATGCAGGCTTGCTACTATCTTGATAGCAAGATAGTGCCAGACCACCTCCAACAAAGTGCACACAGGAAATATCAAATGGTATAGGCTCAGATGTACCTGTCACAGCATGGTCAATAACATTATGAATAAGACCTAACAGAGCCTTTGCCCAGTACAGGATGTTTGCTTCCCTGAATAACTTGGCTGACTCATCCTTGGGTGCAAAGTGTCCAATCTTGAAATCCAAACTGGACAGCATCTCTTTGGGATACACCCTCTCAAACAGATATTTCACAATAACATCATGCCATGCCCTGGACCCAAGACCTGAGGTAGGAGCCAACATCAATATCAGCCATCCTGCATGCACAGTTTTGAATCCACCTATGCTGATGCAACCCTCAGGGGATGTGTCAACAGTCAGATAGCCCACTGATGAATCAGTGTTATCCACAGAAAATGAATGGTACTAGGTACACTTCAAGAGGCTGTTGAGTAAAAATGGATGTTTTCAGTCTGAAACTTAGACACTTACATCTAGGTGAGCATGTTGAACACATACATCAGCAAAAAATAATGCACCCTGCTGTATAACTAAATCTGCACCTTCTCCAATCTTCAAGGCTATCTTCAGGTTGTTGTGATTGGGAGAGCAGAGAACAGGTAGGGGATTACTCATGCTACAGTCTTGGGTGAGTTAATAATCTTCTTTCAATTACAACTATATTTTGACAACATATTTAGGCTTATAAAAATTTTCAAGATTTGTGAAGACATGGGTCTTCAAAGTACATACCAGCAAAATTGTAATGTTGAGACTATTCATGATGCCATGACTTATTTACATCCAATGTATTCAAATGCTGGAGCATGTGAAGTTGTCAGCTTGCTATTTCATGAATGGAATATGAGCATACCCAGGTGATCTTTTCATTTATTCATGTGTCCTTGTTATACCTTAATTGATAACTGCTTGTATCACAGGAGTGTTGTGATATCCTATTTTCATACATATGAGCCAGAGCTTGTTTGTCAGTGCAAGGCCAATTACCTTCACAGGAAATAATTTTGGGCTGTAGGTGTAAATGATCTATTTGCAGTTGACTAACATAACAAGTGGCTGAGGTACAGTCTTGGCCTCCATACTGGCATTGAGCCATTCTCAGGGTGCATTATGTGGATGAGAGTCTAGCACTTGAACTGGAACCTACAGCTGATATTTAGTTATTATCTTGGTATAGTTGAGACACTTGGGCATAAATCATTTTTTCTGTGTCTTGTTAACACAGTGCTGATCTATCTCTACCTACCAGACATGCCTATGATGACCCAGAGTGACCCTGGGTCTGAAAATTATGGAATTGCTAATGCTCACACTATGCTGTATCAGTGGTATAATCCTACCTTGTAGGTTAGCCTACAACACCACTAGATAAGGATGAAGAAAAATATAATGCTGGAGATAATGTGGTCACAGATGCGGTGTTGTTTCACACCTGGATTTGAGACACTTCTAGATCATGGTGTCACTTTCAGTTGGTATGATACCAACAACACTCTCTAATTATGTGTCCATTTTTTTGAGCTATCTGTCCTTACATTGATACTCACTAGTGGTTTACATTTGAGATGCATTTTCACTGGGTTTTTATACCCTGGTTACAATGGAAGTTAGATATTTACCAGGACTGAGTGAATAACACTAGAAAAAGGCAGGACTGAAACAAAATCCTTCCCCATGGTGCACTGGATATTATCTACCAATTGCCCAAGAACTTTGGTGTCTTAGACTTTAAAGTAAGGAATGCCATCTGTGCTTGTTCTGCATGTTCTTACCTGTTGTTTTGTCAGATCCAAGTTGAATTGGAAGCATTAGACCACATCCATGGTCTCTATATTGATCCTTCCCATATTAATGGGTTTCAAAGTTTGGTGCATATGCCACAAACAACATGATGAATGCAAATAATTAAAACTCTGACAGCACTGTGTGCCAGCCATGATCACTAACATTGTTGTTGCTGTCTATCACAGGCATCTCCAACCTCTATGGCCATACAAGGCACTATCTGTGGATGTGGAGCTAGTAGCTCCAGTAGAGCTCAAGGTGGGGGCAGCCATGGATGAGCTCCTACTTCCTCCCAACCCTCCAAAGCACAACCACCTAGCAAGATCCCAATGATCCTGTGGGAGAAATGGCACTCCTTACACACTACTCACCTGATTGAGTGGTGCAAGGCCAATGACAAAGGTTGGATCAAGCTTTTCTCTAATTCAGCAAAAGATGCAAAGAATGAGGGACAACCACAATAGCAGATGTCCACCCAGAAAAAGAACTACATCCAGCAGCTAGCTACTACAATTTTTGCTAATGATGAGGACCCACAAATTCGTGCACTATATCAAGAGCACCCTTTCAGCTTTATCAAACCTGTTCAAAGTCAATTTACCTCATATGTTTGCTATGATTTTGTTTATCTCTACTAGTGGTGTGATTGACTAGATATGTTAGGCTTTGAAAAAAGTACAATACCTTCAACAAGGAGCTTGGTCAAATGGGAGCTGGACTCAAGTCTATCGAGGAGCTGAATGCAGATCCTCACACTAAAACTCTTGTTGGTATGAATGTGCTTTTCTTTTTTTGTTTGTTATATTCTGAGATCAAGCACTAGCTCAACTTCTTTGGCAATTCCCCTGGTGGTCTGACCTTCATGGATGGTGGAGGACAAACCCAGCATATAATATAGCATTCTTGACTGTGGATCTTGGTCAAGATTTTGCAAGTGAAGCACTTGATTTTTTTACAGAGACCCCCAAGTCTGGGCTGCAGGCTGCTGATGAGATGGATCTTGACAATGAGGAGCTTGAACTAGGAGAAATTCCTGATCAGCCACTTGGCCTGTTGGGGGGAGAGCCAGAATATTCTCCAGTGGCTGCTGGAGCTTCTCATTCCCTTATTGACAGTGATAATGACCTCTATAACAACCTCAGCTCTTCAAACAAACCCTCGTTTTTGCGACATCATGACCCTTCTCACATCACCTCTTCATCACCACAGATTTCAGGCACCAATTTATTGTCAGGTTCTCCAAGTTTGATGACATCACCACTGCTCCCTTAAATGCTCCCTTCAACTACTGCATATGTTCAACTACTACATATGTTCAACTCTACATCCTGCAGCTCCCCCAATGAACATCCAGATATCTTGCTCAACTCTCCACCAAGAAATCCTGCACAGGCTCATTCACATAAATTTGTCTCACAGGAGTCTCCACCATGAGATGTCAATGACAATAACAACTTTGGTCACATGGACCTTCAGCCAGAATCATCTGGTGGCAAGGGTATTGAGAGTGTGATGAAATCCTTGACAGTGCACTCCCATAAAGCAAGTGGCAGTGCTCTACATGGTCGCAGTGTTGGCCCATCAACATCTGGTTCTCATTCAACATCAGAGTCTTGTAAGTGGCCATGCGATGTTGTGGCAGAGGTTACAAAGAAGTTGGCTGATGCCTCTAATTCCCTCCTGCTCCATGTGCAAAATAAATTGGATGCCAAAGCCTCAAGCAAGTGGATGAAGTTTGAATATACTAGGTTTTCAAAGGAGTTGAAGGCTTACAGGGCTCACACCAAGCATGAACATGACTCATGTCAGGTCATGGCTAATCATGATCATGAATGTGTCATGTCTGAAGACAAGACAAGGCAGCTTGAAATGGAAATCCGACTTGAAGAAGCTAAATGTCCTTGTCTTGCAATGGAGTGTGGCTTGGGTTTAGATAATGGGGCTAATTGATTTTGTGCTTGCTCTTGTGTCTGTCGTCATCTGTTTGCATTCAAGTTCGTGTTTATATTCATCTTCAGTGCTTGTTGTTTTTGCTAATCATGCTCTCAATACTTATGGTACTGTCATACTGCTACTACATGTTGTCTTTCAGACTTGCTTTTAATGTATACTGCACCTAAACTCTGCTATGAAGCAAATGACCCATCAACATGTTCCAGAAATTTTGTCCATCTAATCCGATAAATCCCTCATCACCATTGCCACCCTTATCCTCATCATCTACATCTCTGGCCCCTTGCACCTGTAATTGTTTCTGAAAGTGATGATTAGAGCTTTTCTTTCCCATCTCCTCCTTGATCTCGATAATGAAATTGTGAAGAATGAGGCAACAGCGAGTCCACATGTTTGCATAGCTGAGGTCTTTCTGTGACTGTATTTGGATTCTTAGGCTGTGAAGTGACTGGAACTGTCCTTTAAGAGACCATAGCAGTGTTCCAATTGAACTTGGACCTTCAATTATGGTATGAGTGCATATACCCATCTCAAAAGACTCAATGACTTACTTTCAATAGGTGCATATTGAATTTTTTTTGATTGGGCCTCAGACTACCAGCCACTAGATGCTTGAAAGGAATGATACACCACATTTGCAATGCATAAGCTGAATCCACCCAGATCCATTCATTTGCTCCCAGAAAGCTCTCAGGGTGTCACAATTCATGTCTTCGAGAATGCATTCGCATCATGCAGACTTCCTGGGACCCTGATCACATAGTCAACAATATGGAGGTTGTGGGGCATGATCACAACCTAATATAAGGGTCAGGATGAATTTTTGATTCATTCTAGATAACTTACCTGTGCGGACAGGGAATAATTTGACTTTTGCTTGAAAAAACCTTCTCCATGCCATCCCAGCTTCTGGTATACATTGAAAGGTGTGCTGTCAACACACAAAAATCCACCATGCCACTCCTGATATGTACGTTCCTCAACCCAGTCCTTCACTTGATCTATCTCAATCTGATCTTTAGCCTCCAGTGGGTCGAAGTGGATGACATTGTCATGGTGCTACAGAATTGCAACCATAACACACCAATAACAGTTGTATACTGTTCCGACTGGGACCCCTGCCTAGTCAGCCATGTCTTCTGTGGTCACTGCATTTCCATAGTGGCCAGCAGCATTCAAAAGTATTGCCAACTGAATGGGAACAGGTAGTTGTGGGTTATTAGAATTGTTGTAAAAAATTGGATGATGAATGATTTTATTGACAAGTTCTACGAATACATCAGAATTGACTCAGAGTTTGCGATGGAACTTCCAAGGATTTTCCAATGTCCACTCTTCCAGTAGATGGAGCTGTGGGGCATGAGTGGCTGTGGGGTGTGAAATGAGAGTACATGCTTTCATAACTTCATCTTGAAGTGCTTGGATGGTATTACTAAACTCAAGGAAGACTCAGCTACTGAACACAGGTCCAGAGGCTTCTGTAGAATCTGAATTGGAGGACAGTGGCATGTCATTCCAGACAGAGTCAAGGGACATCCAGGTATCAAAAGAGCTTATAGAATCCATGCTGATATTCGACAATAGATCAGAATTGATAGAGCCAGAGTCTGAGTCCAAGTCCAAGTCCAACTCATCTGAGCTAGACTCATTGGATGACTCAGAGTCAGATGAGTCATCATCCATTAACATGTTTACTAGCTCGAGGTACCAATCAAGCCACTGATTGTTGTTTGTTTCTTGGAGGGCCTCTAGTACCTTTTTATGCTCTGAAATGTGCATCAGAAAGGATGGTGGAGAATAGTACAGGCTTATCAATTATCTATTCCATGATACTGGATACTTTCCATGATAGGATTAATTAGTAACATGACTGTTTTATGCGGAGCTTGAATATCAATACACATTCTTGTTTCTGTGAAGTTCAAACACATGCACACTGCATACTTTGAAACCTATTATTGTCTTCAACCTCATTCCACAGCCATTCAGTAAGTTCATGGATCATTGCTATATAAATCTTGGGTGCCCATTAGTTACACAGCAGATTGCTTGGGATGTATACTTGCACTTACTTGCCATAGTGCAGGCCAATAATGAGATAATAGCATACCACATTGAGTTGTTAGATGAGGCAGAGGAAGAATTAACTGCTTTGCTACTTATAGAGAACCTTCAAGAGTTATCCTATTGTAAAGATGGCAACAGTTCATACTACATGGGTGGGGTGGGTGGGTGGTGGCCTTGGTCTTGGTATACCTGTTTTTTAATACAAATACAAGGGAACTAATATCTATGTAGTTGACCAGCATTTGCATCAGTTGGAGAGTCTTGCTCATGATGATAAGCCTGACATTACACTTGGCATTGATGAAAGTGTTGTAGGACTGGATCATGCAGGTTTGGTTGTGTGGGATTTCTCAGATGGTGACAACTCAGACATGCTGGATGAATGGTAACTTGTATTGATTAATTTCTGTAAGGCTTGGTTATAACAGTATACTACAAACAGTGTGGGAAACACAACAAGAAGAGAACTGGAAAGTAGCCTTCTAAAGTCAGGTCAAATGTGCTATGCCTAGCTGCTACTCAATCCTAAAAGGTTTCTGGACTAAGCTCAGTGCTCAGAGAGGATAGGAAATCATGATATAAACTCTCAGTCTCAGACTGGTACTAGTAGGTGGTGAAAACTATGATGATTACATAAGCACCAAAAGTGCGAACATAACACTAAGTAATATCTGCCTATACAAGCCCACAGTAAATGAAATCCCTACAATGGCAATCTTGACTTGCTGCTTAGTTGATGGCACATAATATTATTGCAGTCATTTTGTTAATATTAGTGATAGCAGTATCCATGGTCCCACAGAAGCCATGGCCACATATGGTAATTTTTGCTGAAGATTTAAGCACAAGTGTCTGGCTTTACATACACTATGTTTGTCTGATCAGATTCTCACCTTTGATTTTCTTAACTCCAATTGTAGCCTGTGTTTCATCTTAGTGGTTGTGGATTTCACATGATCTCCAATCTATTTGATATTATCAGTGATTTCCAGTGACAGTCAGTTCTTGCTGTGTCACCTCATTGCTTTTCCTTGTGTTTAGTTCTGTCTTGCATCATTTGTATGACAACTTGCATCTGCTCATGCTTGGTTAGGTCATGTGCTTCATGACTTTGTTTGATGTAATTATTGTACTCCTGTTATTATGCATAGGATTCCTGTCACTTTGATTAGTATGCATCTGGCTAAACTGTTCTACAGGTTACCTCAAGTTCCTTACAAATTTCACTCAGTTGTGTATCTTGCTCTTTTGTGGCTGCATCCCATTATTGAATCATCTTGTTGACATCATACACATGGCATGCATGGTAGATTTGCTATCTATCTAAGTTGTTAGCTATTAATCAAACTTTCATGCAGAAGTCATTTCTATGGTCCTAATTAGCTAACAACTCAGAAAAATAGTCTTGGAACTGACAATGATGACCCACTACTGCACATCACACTTTGTGATGCTTCAATGTGTTTGAGTTCATGACATCCAGATTCCTTGCCATTCACTCACTGCAGGGATATTCCTATTTTTCTCCAAAAACATTGATTGAGAAGATAGAAATTTCCTCTCATGTTGCCTTTCAAAACATTGACAAAATTTAATACATGTGTTAAAGATTTTTTGTGCATGGGACATGATGCAAAAATTTGTCTTGTTCTTTCAAGGATAATACTGGATGTTCCATCTATTTTCTGTTAGACAGCAGTTTACAATGAGGTTAAATTTCTGGTCTGTGTTTTTAAATATACACAAAACATTTGAAAACATAGTATATTTGGACTAAAAAATCAACATTATTATAAACTGCTATTTAAAAGACAATAGATAGAAAATCCAGTATTATCCTTGAAAGAACATGACAAATTTTTGCATCATGTCCCATGCACAGAAAATCTTTGACACATGAATTATTTTTTTTCAATGTTTTGACAGGCAAAATGAGAGGAAATTTCTATCTTGTC